ATATTGCTGTGCATCTATTGGCTTCCCACCTCACAATCACATGATCCACATAATGATATTGAAGATAAACACCAAGATTCTCGTAGTAAAACCTGTATTACCACACTTATAAGGAAAGAAAATTTTGAGAGACAAGTTGAGTTTTTTTTTAAAAATAAAAGTATATAAATGTATTATTCACATTGGTATCAAGGAGGTACTGCCCGTACACATATTACTTACAAGTCGATAAGGTGATCAATGACATTTCCAAAATCATCCATCCTATTAATGTCGTGACCAAAAAGCATAGAACCAAAAACAAGTTGAAGAGATATTGCAACAAGGATAAGTCCAGCCTAGTCAAAACCTCTTCTTGGCCACAGTATTACTAGCCAAAAAGGTAAATGTTACATGGCGATTATGTCTAGATTATTGTTCCGTCAACCAAAACCCAATCAAGGACAATATTTTATGTCATTGATTAATGAACTCCTTAAAGAATTACATGGCACCCAATTTTTTAAAGACTACACATGCTTCTGGCATCATCAGAATAGGATGCATCAAGAAAATGTTAGAAAATTGTCTTTCCAACACATTACAGCCACTATATGTTCTTGGTTTTGCCATTTGGCCTACCCAAATGTTGACCAACCCAAGCTCTCATGAAAACAGTTTCCCAACCACATTTTTGCAAGCTTGTACCAGTATTCTTCAAAACATCCTATTCCGCAGCAAAACAAGGATCGAGCATATTCCTCAAGCCAATGTTCTCCTTGCTTAACAACAATAACTTGATTCTGAAGATCTCCAATGCCTTCTCGCACAACCTGAAGTCTCCTTCTTAGGCCATACTACTTCTATCAAGGGCATGGCAGGCTAGTCTCATACTTAGGCCATACAATTTCTATTGAGGATGTGGTAAGCTGGCGACAAATAATTCAAAATTTTTTACCATGCAACAACAGACCAGGCCAATTACCACTAAAAGGATTTGAACTTTTCTGGTAACTGACTGCTACAAGGATTTGCGAAAGATTAAGCAATTATTGTCAAACCTAAGATTAAGGAATTACTGTCAAACCTTGATATCAATGCTTACACAACAAATCTTTAATTTGGATCCTAGAAGCCTTGGCCGCATTTTGGGAAACTGAGACTATCATGATTGTTGCAGTTGTTTCGAACAAATCCTGATTTCTCCCAAAACTTTATTATCAAATTCCACGCCTATGACTACAACATTGGTGCAATAATGGTGAGTATACTGTGGGAAGATTTCCCATGATAAGGACTAACCATTATAGTTTTAAATTTCTTTTGGGACAGAGAATGGTAACTTGTCCACAAAACAATAGTTGAACACTATAATGGGATTTAACTTAGTGATGGAGTACTGCACTGAGAAAGAAGACATGGTGACAAATGCTTTATCCTGATATATGAGGATGTGGTACCTTAGAAACAATCTCCATATTGATGTTGGGCAATTTATGGTTAATTTACCTACTCCAAATATGGAAAAAAATGTAAGTACACATATAGGATTCCTAGGCACCATATATAAGGGTCTATTAAATCTCAATCAAGTACCGATAAATTCTCAAGATATATTATTTAGTATGTAACTGATCTTCTTAAGAGGTTACAATCATATTTATAGAGTGCTAGGTAGGTCTTTCCTAACTAGATTACGAATACCAAAACTAATTTAGAAATATTACTTGTAACAAACTAGATACCAAATATTAAAA